TTAACCGGGTATAAACTGAGACATGACCATAATGTTCCAAGCAACTAAACTGAACTGATAGTCTCTCTGCAATCCACACTAATAACAGTAGCTTCGCCCCCATAAAAGCACAAAAATAAAAATAGACAATAGAGGCCTAAACTCGCAGCAACTCAAGTAGTATCTTTTTTTCTTTTGATATCGGAGAAATCCCTGTGGACTATGCCCGACTCCAGTTGGTCACAGGGGATTTCTCAGATATCAAAAGAAACTTCGGTGAGTATGGACTCGACCCTTTACACTTCTCCCAACTCAAGTATCAGGCTTTATCCGCGGCAGGGTTCTAACATGTGATATGCCTCTAACCACACATCACATGTTTCGTCCTTACCATTGAACCACAGCCTTAGGAGCTCATCAACTAAAGTTACTGAACATCTATGAAAGCCCGGTGAGGCCTCAACCGACAGCGTTGCTTCGTTCTGCGGAACATGGGAATAATTGGACGTAACATTCTTTAACCGCTTATTTACGATAAAACTAGTTGGATGAAATCAACTAAAGTTACTGAACATCTATGAAAGCCCGGTGAGGCCTCAACCGACAGCGTTGCTTCGTTCTGCGGAACATGGGAATAATTGGACGTAACATTCTTTAACCGCTTATTTACGATAAAACTAGTTGGATGAAATCAACTAAAGTTACTGAACATCATCGCGGAGAGAAGGCAACACACAATGGCAATAATGCCTCAGTACATCCCAAAAAAAGAGAGGAAATGGTTTTGAAGTTGTTCAGTCAAGGTCTACAACAGATGCACGGCACAATGGCTATAATAAACTCTGCTATGTAGGATTACAAGTATCTTATCTCTCAGACAAAATATTCCCTCGTTCTTATCTTTTCTCTGCAACTAAAAGAAAATAGTAGGGCACATTCCGTGATGAAAATAGTCTCTATGCATCTATACTGCAAAGTCAATCATCTGAAGCTTTAGGAGAGTTTTCAGGTGTCTTCAAGGAACCAGTTGTAGTACCTTTATGTTTCGCAACAGCAGCTCGAAACTCCTCAACAATGGATGCATCCTTGAACTTCAGAGCAATTGTAGAAAGCCCTTCTTTCCCGTCACCAGCACTATTCAGGCAAGCAAAAGTAAGCCCTCTTTTATCCATATTTGTGAGCTTCATTTCTGGATAAAGGCTTGCATTCAAGATCAACCTGTAATTTCCTTTGGTCCTCATAACAAGTCTAGCTTTTCCCTCTCCTGCTGTAGAAACATTTACCTTTAGTTCTCCCTTGCCCCGCTCTTTCCACCCTCCATCAAGAAATTCAAACAGCACGGAATCAGCTGTGAATACGGGCTTTTCATTCTCCTCCCCTGTTTCAACAGAGACCTCTTCTTTGGAAGGAAATCCAGTACCCTCACCCTTGTTCACAATGGATGACCCTGAGTTTCCAAACAGAGTGTTATTTCCATTAGTGGGAAGAGTAAGCCCAAAAGATGGCTGGTCACTTTTTGCTCCAAAGAGAGAACCAAAACCAGCACCTGATTCAGAGCCAAAGCCTAGAGGAGATCCCTCTTTTGAAATAGCTCCAAAGGAGAACGTAGTGCTGGTGAACCCAGTCCCTGCAAGTCCTGTGAAAGCATTTTGGCTACTTGAAAGCTGTTGGAATGAGCTAAATGATGCAGTTTCTGTACCCTTCTCACTTTTTTCACCACCCGCATCAATTTGTTCTTCATTCTCTGTTTTCTCGACTTCCACATCCTTCTTACTTTCACTTTCACTCTTCTCAACTACTGTGCCTTCCTTGGTTTCATCCTGGATTTTCTCATCTTCAGCCACCTTCTTTTCAGCAGATTCAGGTTTTTCAGGCTCATTAGGAATTTCATCTTTCTCCTCGTTAGCGTTAGGTTCATCAACATTACCTTCTGATGTCTTAGAAGTTTGATCAGGTTCCTTTTTACCTTCCTTATTCACATCACCTTCTTCCTTTCCAGTTGCCTCACCAGCATCACCTGTTTCTTCTGGTTTCCCACTCTCAACATTGCTTGTGGTCACAGCAGAAGTGACACCAGATTCAGTAGGCAAGCGAATCGCTGCAAAAGGATTAGATGAAGGTGCAGTTGCGGTTGATGTAGTTTGATTGCGACGAACTTTGACAATTCTTCTACTTGCCATCACCTCTTCACTTGCTCTCTTGAAAGTTCCAGTTTCTTGATCAGCTGTATCTTCATCATCATCAAGACCAGGATTGTCCCGTGATATTTCCTTTAGAGCCGCCCTTTTCTTTGATGGTTGAAGAGAATTCTCTGTGTCTCCCATCCGGAAATGAAGAAAGACACCTGACGAGTTCTCAAAAGAATAGAGATTCTATTTCTGCAGGAAATTGCATAGAAGAGATCAATAACAAGACAAGCATATTTGAAAACATATCTACCGAAGACAAAAAAACCAAGGAATGGGGAGAAGTCACAGGATTTTACATAACCAACGAAATGTAAACGAAGCAACTGAGGTGAGTAAAAGGTTGGTACTTCTTCAAATAAATGCAAGCTTGTCCACCGATATACAGACTACCCTACTAAATAAACTCCTAAACACTAACAGCGTAAGTTTTGGATAGAAAGTCAAAACCCCACGTAGCTGCCAGAGGTAGAAGATAAGCATATAACAATGGAGGAAAACAAAAAGGTGCAAGACGACTGCTCTGCGCAAGACATGTCTAAAGCTACATGTAATCGTCTATCCCCAATATTATGTATTATACTATTATCTCAGCAGATGATAAGTTTTAGATTCTTAAGTGCTTAGCCAGCTTCTACTAAGACCTTAATATAGATTTAATCCTATGGAAGAGCAAAGTAATAGGTGGCAGTGCATCCAAATCCTACCAAGAATCTGCAAGAATATATATATTTGGATGAAGTAATAAGATATCATTAAAGGCATCAAGAAGATGCAGACAAAAATTTACAAGAGGGAAAAAGGTGACTGCTCAGATACAAAGATTAATCTATAAATAGAGAGCATACACCTTCCAAAAGTTGTTCACAGCTAGATACAGGAGTTTGGTTAAGCCAGCTAAATAAATCCACTAAGCATTTAGCTTTAAGAGCATGATTTGAAGTTGAGATCCCATCAAAACACCTACAGTTTCGTTTGGTAAAAGAAATGCGGAGGTATAGAAATGGCGGAAATGGCTTAGAGATTGATAGTAATTCGAGATAACTGACAGCTATTTCATTCCAAATAAGGTTTATCCATAATTATCAAAGAAAGTACGAGAAAATGAAACAAATTTCAAACAGAGAAGTTGCTATATCTGCTTGACCTAGCTATCAGCATTGCATGTTTCTGATAGAAACAGAAATGCAGCTACAGGAAAAGAATACACTAGATTCTTTAAATTTACCTATTTCTTTAAATAAAATAAAAAATATGTTAGAACTACTTCAAAACTATTGCTCTTCCCATTAACCACAAAGTTGAAGAGGAATACAAATATCTTTACCTTTTAGTATTAAAAAAAATCAATTGCACTCAAACAGACAAATAAAGAGGCAGAGTTTAAATGTCAAAGAGCACTTCTAATTGCTCCCAAGTTTCTTAACAAGTTCCTTCTTTCCAAGTTATCAAGAAAGACAAAACCAACAATGAAAGAAAGAGCTTAAGCAATACACCTACTTGAAACATTCTATTCAATCAAGCAAAAGAGATTTATACAAGAGGCAATCAAATGTCTCTGGCACTCCACTACATCCATTAATGTCACATAAATCTCGAAAACAAATAGAGGAAACCAAGTTTAAGAAATCAATACATGGTTCATTTCTTTTTCCAAACAAAAAAAAAAGCAAGATAAAATCAAACATTCAATTAAATCAAACTTTCAGGAGGTGAGAGCTATTTCAAGATTTTTATACTAGTTCTTGTAACATAATAATTAATATATTCACTGTACCACTACTCCGTTCATCAAAGTTAAAAGAAAATGTTAACTATGAGTCACCGACAAGACTTTTGATAGAGACGAAGTATCTGAATTAGCTGCAAAATCAACACATAATTTTCGGTCTAAAAAATTAGCTTACATTAGGCAAAAGAAGAAGATCTGAACTTAGTGTCTAGAACGTTCTAGATTCATACTTCCACAGCACTTATTTAAAATTGAAATGGAGTAAAAACTCAAAATTGAAACTATTAGTTTAAGAGACTAGCAGATTAATTAAAATTCGACGAAATTGCAGGAACATGTAAGCGGAAAAATGAATCCGGAAAGGAATTAAAATAATAAAATTAGAATGAGTCGATATTACCTGACAAAATTCAAATTCCGTCCGCTTGATTCGCTTGTAATGTGAAGAGTTCTGTGCTCTAGACCCAGCTGGGGAATATATAAAACCCTAGTCAGAGCTAATCTTGATTATGAAAATGAGGATAGGGACGTGTGTCACCTTAATCATTAAACTAGGCTTTTGGATGAAAACAAAAAGGAAACACAAATTGGGCCGGGAAACAAAGGGTTTTTTAATTTTTATTTTAGCTGACGCTAAAAACTATTTACATTGAGCAGTCGGTGGTCGAAAAAATGTATAAAATTTATAAAAAAATTTATAATTTACAGAATATATTTTGCGTTAGTTTGAACCTAATTCTTGATTGCCTATAATTATTTTAGTGCATCTGCCTGGATAGTTTTCTTGCTAGTAACTTGTTAGTGATTTCTAGACTCTAATTTAGTTTCTTTGTAGCTATTTTGTTGGCCTTCTTATCTCTATTGTTATCACTAGTTTAATCTTCCTTGTATGTTTGGCTTAACTGTACACATTTATAGTGGTTAGAGTTGTAAGTGTTAGACCTGCCTCCTTTAGTTTAATTCTTTGTTTATTTTAGCGACAGTTCTAGCATAATATTTTGTAGATTATAGTGGTTGGGGTGAGTGATGGTAGAATAAGGTCATGTCCTCGGGTGGGGTTGGGGGGTGGGGGCAAAGCTGGCAAGGGAGTCTCTAGGTTGAGAATGGGGTCCTGGAATATAGGAACTTTGACGGAAAAGTCTATAGAGTTAGCGAAGATCCTCCAGAAGAGGAAGATCAACATAGCTTGTGTCCGGGAGACTAGATGGGTGGGGTCGAAGGCTCGAGATGCTGATGGGTTTAAATTGTGTGTCTCAGGATGCGAGAGGGATAAGAATGTGGTAGGTATCTTGGTTGACAGGTATCTTAGGGAGCTAGTGGTCGAAGTTATGAGGGTGAATGACAGGCTGGTAGCTATTAAGCTGGTTGTGGGAGGGTCTACTTTAAATCTGATTAGTGCTTACGCGCCTCAAGTGGATTTGGACGAGGAGATTTATAAGAGGCGCTTCTCAGAAGAATTTGACGGGTTAGTACGTGGCATTCCGCTCACCGAGAAGTTATTCATAGGAGGTGACTTCAATGGTCACATAGGGGCGACATCTGGGGGTATGACGGTGTGCATGGCGGCTTTGGCTTTGGAGTTAGGAACGGTGGAGGTACTTCGTTGTTGGACTGTGCTAAAGCCTTTGATTTGGTGATTGTCAACTCGTGTTTTCCGAAGAGGGAGGAGCACTTGGTTACTTTTTGGAGTTCGTTAGCCAAGACTCAAATTGATTATCTACTCCTCCAAAAGTGCGATCGGAGTCTGTGCATGGATTGTAAGGTTATACCAAGCGAGAATCTCACGACTCAACATAGATTATTAGTGATGGACTTAGAGATCGTGAGGAAGAGGAGGAATAGGGCCATGTATGATTAACCCAGGATCAGGTGGGGTGCTTTGACTAGTGACAAAGCGCAGGAGTTGGGGGAAGTTATTGGCTATAGGAGCCTTGATGAGCAGTGGAGACACGAGCTGTATGTGGACCACGATAGCGGAGTGTATTAGAGTAGCTGCGAGAGAAGTGTTAGGTGTCTCGAAGGGTTTCTCTGGCGGCCACAAAGGTGACTGATGGTGAAGAGAGGAGGTACAAGAGGAAGTGGAAGCCAAGCAAGCGGCGTACTTAACGCTTATAGAGAGCATGGACGATGAGGCGAGAAGGAAGAACAGGGAGGGGTATAGGAGAGCTAAGAAGGAGGCGAAGTTAGCGGTTACTGCGACTAAGACTGTGGCGTTTGGGCGTTTTTATAAAGAGCTTGGGGCCAAAGGCGGGGAAGGACAAGAAGCTATACATGTTAGCCAAGGTGAGAGAAAGGAAGGCTCGTGATCTAGATCAAGTTAAGTATATCAAAGATGAGAAATGTAGAGTTTTGATGGAAGAGGCTCAGATTAGACGAAGATGACAGACATATTTCCATAAACTCTTGAACGAAGAGGGTAGGGATATTGTGTTTGGCGACTTGGAGTACTCCGAGATACGCCGGGATTTCGGGTATTGTAGGCGCATAAGAGTAGAGGAGGTCGAGAGGGCTATGCGGAAGATGCACGGGGGTAGAGCTACCAGGCCAGATGAAATACCTGTGAAATTTTGGAAGAATGCGGGTAGGGCAGGTTTGGAGTGGCTCACTAGGCTGTTCAACGTCATTTTTAGGACGAAGAAGATACCCGATGATTAGAGGTGGAATACGATGATTCCTCTGTATAAAAACAAGGGCGATATCCAAAGTTACAATAATTATAGGGGGATTAAGATGCTAAGCCATACTATAAAAGTTTGGGAGAGAGTGGTTGAAGTGAGGGTGAGGACCATTGTGTCCATTTCTCAGAAACAGTTCGGTTTCATGCCGGGGCGTTCGACTATGAAAGCTATTCACATTGTGAAGAGATTGGTGGAGCGGTATAGGGAGATGAAGAAGGACTTTCACATGGTGTTCATTGGCCTAGAGAAAGCATATGACAAAGTCCCGAGAGAGATACTCTGGCGATGCTTGGAGGCTAAAGGGGTCTCAGTAGCCTACATTAGGGTGATTAAGGACATGTATGATGAAGCTAAGACTCGGGTTAGGGTAGCGCAAGGAGACTCGAAACCCTTTCCGGTTAAGATGGGATTGCACCGGGGATCAGCTCTTAGTCCATTCTTATTTTCCTTGACGATGGATGCATTGACGAGACATATTCAAGGAAAGGTACCATGGTGTATGTTATTTATTGATGACATAGTTTTAATTAACGAGACGCGGGTGGTGTTAATGAGAGGCTGGAGGTTTGGTGGCAGACCCTAGAGTCTAAGGGTTTTAAGTTAAGCAGGACCAAGACAGAATACATGGAGTGCAAGTTCAGCAACATTACCCAGGAAGGGGATATGGAGGTGAGGCTTGATACGCAAGTCATCCCCAAGAGAGGTAGTTTCAAGTATCTTTGATCTATAATACAAGGTAATGAGGAGATTGATGAAGATGTCACGTATAGTATCGGAGCAGGATGGATGAAGTGGAGGCTCGCTTCCGGTATCTTGTGTGATAAGAATGTGCTGCTGAGACTTAAAGGTAAGTTCTACAAGGTTGTAGTTAGACCGACTATGTTGTATGGAGCAGAGTGTTGACCGGTCAAGAACTCTCATACCCAGAAGTTAAAAGTAGCTGAGATGAGGATGTTGAGGTAGATGTGTGGGCATACCCGATTGGATAAGATTAGGAATGAAGTTATTTGGAAAAAGGTGGGAGTGACCCTTGTGGAGGATAAGATGCGGGAGGCGACATATTTAGAGGAGAAGTATAGAAGCCTCAGTTAGAAGGTGTGAGCGGTTAGCCTCGGTGGACAGCATGAGGGGTAGAGGTAAGCCTAAAAAGTCTTGGGGAGATGTTATTAGGAGGGATATGGCGCAGCTAGAGCTGACTGAGGACATGGCCCTAGACATGAGGGTGTGGAGGTCAAAGATTAGGGTAGAAGGTTAGTAGGTAGTCGAGCGTTTCTCTTTGTCTTACTCAGTTAGCTAGCATTAGTGTTAGTATATTATCTTTTATTCATAGATGACTTTTACTACCTAGAGTTTGACTGCATTCTTGGATTCGATCTTATTTCATCTTGTTGTTATTCCTACTTGTTGCAATTACCTTTTCTTTTTCAGTCGTTCTCTAGCTGAGGGTCTATTGGAAATATCCCCTCTGCCCTTCCAGGGGTAGGGGTAAGGTTGCGTACGTCTTACCCTCCCCATACCCCACTCATGGAAGACTACTGGGTTTGTTGTTGTTGTATTATTTTAAAAACAGCTATACAGTGTCACTTTTTCAAAAATAATATAGAAGAGGCCCAAGAAATGGACCACAACGAGACCTCTAAAAAGTGAAAATGTATGAACCTTAAAGTCCCTATGGGAATGTTCTGTTAATTAACAGAAAATGATATTATATGATCGCTCTTAAAATAATAACCTGAAAATAATAATTTTGACTGTAGGCTAAAAGTGATCTTTCCCGTAATTAACTTATATGTGAATATAGAAAGTGATTCTATTTGTCTTTTCTTTATTCATATCTTATGTTACTTTTTACTGATGTCACGTGCCTAAAATAATTTTTGAGAAAACAATATATAACTAAAATAATATCTGTTTGAAAATATGACAAGGGCCTTTACAAGAGATGAAAAAGGTTCTCAATAGCTCCACAAGAAGATATCTTCCAATTTCTTTCGGGATTCAAATTGGCGTAGGACCTTTTTCCAAGGGACATGAAGTAAGAGACATTTTCGCACTATTTCCACATCTATATACGTTTTGAATTATTTCTATAGTGACAATGGCACGTAAGGAGTGTGAAGGGTAGAAACAACTACGAGTGACTAAAGCTAATAACCTAAGCAAAAAATATAGTAAAAATAGTACGGGCTAGCCAGTTTTCGGACTGGTAATTGAAAAATAGCCAGCATTTGCGAAGTCATTGAAAAATACCATTGTTTTGCTGAAACACAGAAAGTTCCAGCATAATATGCTGGATTATGGAGCTCCTGCATATAAACTTTCAACATATTATGTTGGAACTCCAGCACATGGAAAGTTCCAGCATAATATGCGGGATTATGGAGCTTCTGCATATAAACTTCCAGCATATTATGATAGAACTCCAGCACATTATAAAATTCCAGCATATTATGATGGAAGCTCATATCTAAAAAATTCGAACTCCAGCATACTAGCATATTATGCTGGAATATTTTCGGATTTTTAAGAGTATTTTTGTTGAGATGTTATCTTTACACAAAAAGCGACTAAATTTTGATTACTTTTGAAACTGTGGCTATTTTTCAATTACCAGTTGTAAATATGGCTATTTCTGATTTTTTTTTGTCCAACCACAACAAACTTCTATCTTAAATGAATAAGGCTTGTGCTTTATTCCGCGACATGCAAAAAAGGAAAACTCTTGCCTACTGTTGTTATACTTGCCTCATTGATACATTTTGCAAGTTAGATCGGATGGATGAGGCTGAGAAGTTGTTTGATAGAATGAGAAAAGAGAAGATCTCTCCTGATGTCGTAACTTATAGAATAATGATTAGAGGGTACAAAAGGGTTGGAGATTTTGATTTAGCTTATGAGATGATTTAACATTTCTGATGATAGTATTTGACATTATTTTTCTTTGTACAGTTAACGTTAAACAAAGTTCTGCTTTCCAGACAAACTGATAAGGGTCACTATTTTTCTATATTTATTTTGCTGTTTCCTGGATTGCTTGGTATAAAATGGTTGAACTTTCTAGTTGATATCAGCTCCAAATTGGCAAAAGTGTTGGAAGTATATTAATTGTCAGATCCTATGGTACTTGCAGACTGGAAGACTGAAGTTTTCTCATCAACCCACATTTTAAGACCCTTTTTGCGAATTGGTTGGTTGATTGAATCTAGTTGGGGTGTTTGAGGGAATGACTTTACCTTGAATTCAAAGCTATAAAAGCTCCTCCTTTAGTACTTTGTCTCTGTCCTACAACAATCCAAGGGTTTGGAATGGGCAAGGTTTAATATGTTACAAAGGATCCAAGGTTTAACCACGCACTCTAGAAGAAGAAGAAAAAACTCTATTTCTTTCTCTTTCTTTCTTTTTTGAAACTTCTTGGTTCGAGTTCTAAACCAATGTTATCATGGTGGAATGTAATGGTTTTGAGTTTGTTTTGGTGGCTAATGGAAAGCCAATGACTTCTGCAACTATGCATTTGAAGAGAAAAGTGAAATAAATTGACGGACGTTCAGTTTCTTTTTCTTCTTCAAATTGCAATTTTTCCCTACTAATGCACCTTTCGTCATTATAGTTGAAGCGTGAATTGTCTTCCACGAGTTCAAAACATCAAAATCTCGTTCCCCTATATCAAGTGTTGTAACTAATGGGAGTGGATTAGCGAACATAATTATAGCGGGATATGGCACAGGACATGGAGCTTAACAATTTCTGCACTATCTCCACTTCCGTATATGGTTTTAAGTGTTTTCTATAGTGACAATGGCATGTAAGGATTTTGAAGGGTAAAAAATGTAAGCCTCGAAAGAATATTATATTATAAAACAACTATAAGTGACTAAAGCTAACAACCGAAGCTGGGAACATACGTCCAGTATGCCTACAAAACTCATTGCTACAAAATCACACCACTTGCGGAACATACATCATCGGTCCCTAGATCGCCCTCTTTTAAGGAAACACCTATAGAACCTGCAATAGAAAGAAAAATCAATATCAAAAAATTGAAACTTGCCCAAGTAGGATAATTGACCACCACCAATTGAATGTAGCATCGATATATTCAAATAATTGACAAACAATGCAGGTGGAAAACTACAGAACACAATAATCCTATATTCCTCAGAGAGCATGAGCACACACTCCCATATGACATTAGTTTTTGAGTTGAACAGAGTGCCCAACTTCAAGAACAAAGCACGAATTTCTTCAGGGTTTTTTCCATTTAAGCAAATACAGCAAACAATGAGGTTATAAGACTTGAGACACCTAATCAAGTGTAGAAATACGGATGAGCCTTTAAAAGACATGCACTTTCAACAGTTTATTGGAGAAAATTTAATTTGTACCATAAGAACGAATACATACAGCTTGAACCATCTTGAATGAACCTTTAGTGATGTGGTGTAAGCACTGCAAAAGCATCAATATTAAGTATAAGAGAGATGAGGGGCAAAATCAAATAAACTGTAATAGTGATAAATGATAATCAGATAAAAGGCAAAATCAGTTCAAGAAGAACATGGTAGCAACTGCACTAATTTGTGCCAAAAGCATATGAATGCCAAATCAGCATCCCCATAATGGACGGAAATCTTTTCTATTCCTCACATTTTTCGGTCAGCTAAGCTTGAAAAATTCATATTCTTAAAAACTTCACAGGGAAGAAGAAACAGACTACAAAATTCAGATTTCTTGAAGGGGGTTAGGGTGTTCATTAAATGTTCCACTAAGTCATAGTTTATTCGAAAAAATTTAACGATAAACAAAATAAAAGATGATAAAAACAGGATAACAGAAGAATCTAAGGTATGGGTGTCAAAACACAAATAAAAGAAATTCAATTAATCACCAGCAACAAAACTATGATTTTCACACCGGCCTAACCAATTGCTTTTAGGCTGACGGTTTTCCTTCACTATTCGTACCCCACTCTTCGTCTGCCTCATTTCTATTAATGAGTACTGCACCGTCAGTAGACACACCATCCACGACCACAGCCTCTTCTTGGCCCTCTTCTTGTTCCTCATTTTGTGCATCATCTGCCTCCAATTCTTGCACCTCATCACCACTCTGTTCTGCAACCTGAACAGTTAACAGACATTTAATTGTTTTCATTTACAAACACCAATTGATAGTCTAAGCTGCTTCAATACGGATATTAAATAACACCGAGAAAAGACTTCTCCTTAATCACGTATAAAGATATGGTTCTTTATTTCTTTAGTTTTATGAAAAATATACACAGAATGCCAAATCAACCCTGACTAGAAGGCAAATAGAAACACATCATTTAATACCTCGTGGTCCATATCTCCATTTTCAAGTGGTTCTTCATCCATTCTCATGTTGTTGAAAGCCTCTACAAGGTTGTTAGTTGATCTATCAACATGATTTACGTAATCAGTTGCTGGTGGGTAGCCACCCCTACATAGGAATTGGAACAGAAATTAGAAGTTATCCAAATTGGTGAAAATTTCTCCCAGCAAGAATAGAAAAGGAGATACAATTGACCAAAAGATTTGAGAATTTCACAGGAAAATGAGGAACTCCCATAATATAAAGCAGGTCTAACAAAAGTACTAATATATTCAAAAAGCATACGCTGAGAGAATATAGAAGAAATGCATGGGAAGTGGAGAAATCCATTATCAACACCTTTCCTCTGCAACTCTAGCTTCAACAGCACATGCAACTTGCCAGTTCTCAAACAGATTAGGATATTCTTCAGGATCAGCCAAAGCTTCTGCTGCTTTCTGGTTAACCTGTATGACAGATTCATGAAGAAACCAGATTAGAGAACAACAAATTTCCTGCTATAGGACTACAGATAATAGAGGAATGTGTAATCCTGCACGAAGCCATATACTCCGTATTAATAAATTATTACAACCTTCACTTTTGTGTTCAAACTTCTATTCAATGTCAAATCTTTAGATTAAGGCATGACCCTATCCATGCCCGCAAGGTCTGCTTCCTGGCCACTCAGAAAACTCATCAACCATATTTGCTGTGGCCATTCCATGAAGATAATACACAAATGCAAGTGGAATAGGGAAAATTGTCCAAAAATATTATTGTTGATGCCGATCACAGGTGTAAATAATAAGTCCAAGAGGTAAAGACCTCCAAAGTTTCTTTGCACCAGCGACTTAGGTCAAGAAGTTAATTCCCACCAAGTTCAAAAACTGAAATGAAATCTAATCTAGATGGCAGATCTGTCAGGTGGGCCATCCCACCAGATATTGGGGCCAAAGTTCCAGAAATTCATCAGAAGATGTATATAGATTTTTTGATATCCAGAAGATGTATATAGATAAGAAAGCTCAAAATCAGAAAACCACCGACCTTACTGAGGTCCTTCCTCCAAATTGCAACTATTTCAGAAACCTTACTTGGCAGATAAGATCTAGCCATAAAAGCAGCCTCAGGTATCCGGTTGCTGCAAACAAATTGTAACTCTATATATCAATCCAAACTGCTGAAAACACCCCTAAACAATAAGTTCTTTAGTGACAAGAAATACCTATCAACCAATAGCTGAATGCATTCCTCCACTTTACCCAAAAGGAACATGCAGAGGAATGTGACATTGTTTTTCCCCTGCTCTTTGGCAGAAGTTGCTAGTTCAGTTATTCCTTCAGCATCTCCAAGTGAAGAATAGAGTAGCAACAGACCACTCAAGTCATTCGCATACTTCAGACATTCCTCTGCCATCTCCAGCTACAAAACATAGCAAATGAGCAATAATTCTGAAGAACTCAAGAAAGTAAAAGAGATGAGTGCATTTCAGAAAAGAAGCACTACTGGCATCTGAAGAGATCAAACTACAAAGCACCCTCTACAGCTTGAATACAAAAGAAAGAGCTGGAAAACTTTACTTTATTCTGAATGATATATTTCAAAGTAGTCTCAGTTAAGCTGAAAGAAAGAGTTTAAGCAAGTATTGTTTGGGTACCAACAGCATTACACAAGCCACGACGTCATTCCTAAAATCACAACCATACATTTTTCCAGTTAAAAAGTAAAAGTAGGCATGAAAAGGTTTTGCAAAGATAAGATTGCCATTAATGGCAGTAACAGTTACCATTCCAGCAGACATGGCTAGTTCACCCAACTGCTTCCACTTGGACTCACTCTGAGCTACCACTGCAATATCCTGCCAAACCACAAGGCCACACTTCTAAACAACATATGGTTCTTTTGAAGCAACAAGTTTAAAAGAAAATGTGGAAGTCCAAACCACATGCATTGAGTTAGAAGCCCCACCTTTGCAATATCTAATTTTCCCAGCTGTATGGCTAGTTCAAATCTGTAGTCAGGCTCTGTTGCAACTTCTAATGCTTCCTCTATCATACCCCGCGACTCCAAGAAACGAGCAACACTAGCAGGGAAAACATTTGATGATAACTTAGAAAACTTGCAATAAAAACAAAGCAAACCATCACCCCCTTCTGAAGGTTTAGACATTGCAGAAACTACGCGATAGCAACACGAAGCATCACAAATTAAATTTTCAGAGGAAAGAGATTTGATTAATCAATCAGATCTGAACGTATAAATACACAAAAAGTTAGCACAAAATGTTTGAGGGGGAGCCTTGGAGCAACGGTAAAGTTGTCTCTTGTCTCTGTATGACCTATATGTCACGGGTTCGAGCCATGGAAGCAGTCACTAATGCTTGCATTAGGGTAGGCTGTCTACATCACACACCTTGGGGTGCGGCCCTTCCCCGTACCCTGCGTGAACGCGAGATGCCTTGTGCACCGGGCTGCCCTTTTTTCAAACAAATGGAATACAGACACCAATCCCTCAGAGTATAAGAGCAGCATGTTAATCTGAAGTAACCCCGAAACAGAACCATTTTACAGCACAATTGATACCATTGATATAATCCGGAAAATCCAGCTCATTGACATACTACAACCATGTTGAAAATTTAGGAAAGTTGCAAGACCATGCACACCTATTATGGTGCTCCTTAGGAATCGATGGCAGCACCTCATTTGCTCTGTCCCAGTCATCACGCATCACAAGTGTCTTGTACTCGATCAAGCTGAGCAGCAAAGTAT